GTTTACAACCTGAGCTTTCCATCAGACCCCATCTGTTGCTCCTGTGCCTGGTACCTCCCTCTACCCTCCTCCAATGCTTCTCATCAGCATCCAACACCAAACCCTCTCCCCTGATGCTCCATACACTGCACTGCCCTAAATTAATGATATCAGCATTGACCCTCCAGCCTGACTTGGTTTAACCCTTAATGAACAGCGCTTAAAGCAACGGCATATCACATATTAGCAATAAGAATAAAACAATTCTCTCACTAAATCTTTTTAGTTTGCTCGCTTGTTCCACTCTGAAAGGTACTGAAAGCCAGTTGTCAGAGAAGCTACAGTGAACATGCACCAAAGCCATGTGAATGTGTCTAGATCACGTTGAGTTTACCGACAGATTACCAGGGCAAAGGGACTCTCAGCGTTACACTCTGCTGCATTATAACTACTTTTCAGTTTTTCCTCTCCCTCCTCCACCTCTAATGTCTCACGTCTCTGGCAGTAGGGCATGCTGGCTGCTTGTTCTCTCAGATACCACGGCCCTCGTACCTTGGATGTTTTTTGTGCCCTGTTCGAAAGGGACCTCCATCTGTCCCTACACTCAGCCCATTGTGGTGTCCCAAAACCCAGCAACTTCCACAATGCAGTGGGCGTGCAGGAGGGGGAGGGGGGCAGGGTAAACACGACAGCATCCAGATCCCATTAGAAGCTCTTTAACTCCTATACCCTAATGCTCTCAGAGAACTCTGGGAGGAGAAGGACCACCCCTTATCCTCATGCACACAATGTCACCTTTTACACCCACTCCTAGTAATGAGTCTGTGAATGGCCCTCTTTCCCCCCCTCCCATATACATCTCCTTTTTCTGTCTTGCATCGGTAGAACAAGCTTTCAAGTTACGCCATTTTTCGATGCATTATTTTATTTACCATAACAGAAAAATGATCTTAAACCTCCATCATATGTTTACACGGGAACAGTGGTGTTTTTATTGATGGAGCTTGGATGGATTCATTATTTTCCTGTCTCACTAGAGTTCAGTTTGTACATGATAGTCTAGTCTGATGTGATGTGGTAATAGATGGAACCAGGTTCATTCAGAAAAAGTTGTATTCATTTTTATTTAATCACTTCCACCATGTTAACCGTGACCAACCCAGTCTCTACGTCTTCTCATAACACCAGCTTTGCCATCTTTTATTGTTTGATTCAGTCTTTTCCCACATCTCTCTCTCTTTCTCTCCATCCATCTCCTCAGTCTTTCTTCTACCAGCTGCTCCTCTAAGTCTAGGGCGTCTCCGTTTCAGGGTGCTCCACCTCTCAACCTGTGCTCTCGTATCCCTATGCTGCCCACAGAGGCATTCGTGTGTCCCTGTGTGTGTACATATGTGTGCATGCGCACTGTTGCCCAAGAAGGGGGGGGTGGTGGTGGGGGGGATCACTGTGTCGGCCCCAGTTTAAAGGCAGAGGGATTACCGGCACACAGACACTGATTAAAGCCTTCCAGCATCCTATGGCCCCATTAATACAATCCTAATCACAATGCTTTATCCCTCTATCTAGCTCCTATGGATCAGGGCCTTTTCATTTTAGTGGGAGCCACTCTTGTTTGGCCAGCGGATTAAATGTATTGTACAAAGAAACTAAAATACAAGCACAAGGGAGAGAGAGAGATAGAGAGAAGTGGACCAACAGAAGGCTTCAATCTGCACTTTAATAACTTGTCTCAGAACTATTTTTTTCTTTTATTGTTGGTAATGCCAACCTCCCCTGCCAAAACGAATTTACTTAAATGTCATCATTTAATGTTGCCATTAGAGCTCATACTATTAGCATCTACCTTTTAATGTATATAAAGATAAAATCCAGAAAAAACACAGAAGTTTAGGAATCAAGAGTTGGAGTGCTGCACCATTGATTCTCTGTAGGATGATATCTAACATGACCTCACTCTCCCAGGGGATTCAGCCACAGGTCGCACTCTGCTGCATGCTGTCTCGGCCAAGATGGCATGACAGAGCATGTGTTCCCTTCCCATTAAGAGACCTTGTGCCCTTATCAGAGATGAGAGCCACTTGATACACTCAATCTGTGTTTGAGGCCTGTACTGTAAAGTACATAAAGACTGGATTAGTGGTTGCACTTTTCAAAGATATTTTACATCGTTTTATTATTTTTTTCAGCAATTTTACAAATTTGATACAAAGAAATGTTGAAACTAAAAGTCTGAGCGAAAACAAAAAAACATATTTCTTCCTGAACTGTACTAAACTGAATGTAACTATAAAACCTCCTCTCCAACACCATGCCCCAATCTCCAGAGACTGTCCTGCATTTCTGTGTTTTGTAATCTTGTATCCAAAGTTAATTTATGTGGATTATTTCTATATCCACCCACTCATGTATCTGGGCGCAGAAGGATAATCCCCATACCCTGCCCCCAACCGTTTTTGCCATAACAAAACAGCAAAGACACAAAGAGGGTGAACGCCAGCTAACTCTGCCAGTACTTTCTCACAGGCCAAGTGTCTGCCTGTGTGCAAAGCTATGTGTCATTGCTATGCCAAGGCTGACACACAGGAGCAGAGAGGACAAACTTGTGAATGGGGAGCAAGGACCTTAGTCACCTCTTCTGCCCTCTCCTTCTCTTTCCTCTTCTCCTTTTCCCCCCCAACACTAATTCCCCGTTCCCTCTCTCATCCCTCTCTCTTATGCTCTCACTCTCCTCTCTCTCTCTCTCCCTAAATTGGCCCAGCTGTCCATCAGCCCCCCCGCAGTCCCCCCAGCTGTCTGCCCGCCCCAAACGAGGAGCCCCACAACAATACAGGTCACAGGTCAAGAGAAAGAACAGGCTGCGTTCACAATGGACCAGTGGCGCCCAGTAAAACAATCATTCTCTTTTTCTCTTCCAGCCTTTCTCCCCTATTGCCAGGACTGAAAAAGACAAACCTTTGGAGAGGTAGCTGAAGAGGAGGGAAGTCCTCTTGGACAACAGCCTCCGAGGCACCTTCCCCTTTTCACAATTGCCTCAAGGACCATAATGACAAACACACTCAAACACACCAGCTCTTGCTCTCACCTCCTCATCTTTACACTCTGCCACCCCGCTCTTTGTTTATTTCAAGTGCAATCACTTCCTTCAGCACAATCATTACAGTCAAAACGAAGTCTTTTGTCATTAGATGAGTGATATAAATATGTTAGTTTGAGCCAGTTTGAGCTGATCTAAAAAATCGGCATCAGAATCAGTGTAGCAACTTTACTCTTCCTTCAACTTAAAAAAGGTTTTTAAGATATGTACTTTGTACATTGAGGTTACATTTTCTAAATAATAATTGTATCTGACCAATTGATTTATAGCATCCATATTCATATGCTGTGTCTCTGAACTGAAATGTAGTGTTTTTCTCTCTCTGGGTTAAATTAATTCTTTGAAAATGAGCTCTGCCCTGCAGTGTTTTGGCATGAACTAGATGGGGAAACGGGACATGTGTGAGAGAGACCGAAAGGCAGACTCAAAAAAGCCTCTGTGACACATTCACCTGTTCCCCAGAGCTGTTTTCCCATGGCCCGCAACAGTGTCCCGCCTGACCTGATAGAAACCCCGGAGAAAGCCCCAGAATGACATCATACACACAAACACATCCTGCAGCAGACTTAACGTCACAAAGATCTCCTTTAGTCCAGCAACTTCGTCTTCATTTTTGATATTTGTTTTGTGTTTGTTATTGTGAAAACAATCTGGCCCACTTAAATTTAATTTTCTTTAGTCCAAGATTATATTTTTAGTTATTTATTGTTGTGTTTGTGTATTGGAGACGATATACCTTAATATCAAAGTACTGAGAGATGTTCTTACACATGATAACATTAGAAACCTGCACTTAATCACTGCCTTATTGTGTGAATTCAGTAAGACACCTGAAACTGAATGTGTGCAAAGGGAATTTTCAGAGGGGGAGTGTGATATATGAGCTGGCATTAAGTTACTTCTTAATATGATTACAATATTTAGAACCTAATTTACTTGATTTGGATTTTTGATAGAAAATGATGGAAATCGCTCTGCTGACTTGTGGTGCCTTAAAGTTTGGGGGCTGTCAAGTGTTTCATACTTATCACATAAGTTCAGTGTGAAATGCAGAAAGAGCTTTATTTTTATGGAAGCCTCACTACAATATTAATATTAAGCTGGGGTCCATTTGAATTGATGTAGCTGCAAATAGGTACCCTCAGCTATATTGGGAGATGTGCACTTTCTGTTGAACTGAAATATAGGTACGGGATGACAGCATATAAGAAAACACACGGCAAATATTGTTACTATGGAAATAGCATATAATATAAGAATATTTATTCAATTAAGTGCGAAACAGTAAAATATTTACAACAGTACAATATGACAAAACTGTGACACCAAATGAACAAGTACCTGAAAGACCTCAAATAAATAAGTTAAATACAGTACAGCTGCTAGTGACTGACAACAAAACCAAGAAAACAGTGCTGAAAAAATATAAAAAGGACGAGACATTATCAAAATAAATATTAAATACAGATATAAATAAATGCATTGGGTTTTCTTATGGCAAGGGGGGCATTGGCTGTAGGCCTCAGTGCACAATTTAGGTTAGGACTTTAATTTCAATTTCAATTTCTTTTGATATGCAGACATGCACATCTAACAAAGTCCTTTTTGTTCATTTTCTACACTTGAAACATCTGTGTAATGCTTTAGTGCGGATATCTGATTTGGTCAAATTATCTTGAGTCACTAACAAGTGAGGGGGCAACTTCTTCAGAAATAATTAAAATCAAATGAAATATAATCATAGCAAAAAATAATAAATAAAATAATAAAAGTTATGGGTGCGTGTGTGTATCAGGTAGATTGAGTTGAGGTGGTGAGTCTCTCTGAGCGTCCACTGCTCTCCCAGATTACTAGACAACATAATGCAAACCATTTATCTATACCATCATTTTTACAGCATTTCATTCAAGAGCAGTGCTCCTCTCCCTGCCAATTTCGCACCAGAGTCAATCACTGGGCCACTTAACTGTTCATGGTCAGATTTCAGATGCTGCCCATCTGAGAGGCGACCAGGTGAGAGGGAGTGTAGGGGTCAAAGGCCACGTCCAGGGGCAGGTCATAGCGTGAAGCTTGAAAAAGTGGGTGGCCCTGAGGCCCTCCTGGTAGGTTGCCAGTCGTGGAAGTGGGGTAATGGTGGGACGAGAGGTAGTGGGCATGGTGGCCAGGGTGGGATGTGTAGTTCCTCTCTGACTCACGGGGAGAGGGCTCCTGCTTCAGGGCAAAGTTGCCACTGATGCTCAGTGGGGGAGTGAGGGGTCCATCGTATGGTGGAGTGCCACTGCTGCACTCGTTCGGGGAGGGGTTGTCATATAGAGGCCCCTTGAATCCCTTCATATGGAGGAGGTGGGAAGCCTCCAGGGAGCCATAGGGGGGGCTGGGAAGGCCTGGAGACGGGTAGCTGAGGGGATGGCTAGCCTGACCCCCCACACCACCCACCCCCGGGCCGCCACACTTATCGTCCATCTTGCTGAGCATCATTGGACTGGGCCCCAGCTGCAAGCAGCCGGCCACGAGGTTACTGGTGGGCTGAGACAGACCTTTACACATCATCTCCACAAAGCCATGACTCTCAGGGGACTGGCCACTCTCAAGCGACTCCGACAGAGCCCAGATGTAGTTGCGAGCCAGCCGTAGAGTCTCAATCTTTGACAGCTTCTGTGTCTTGGAGAAGCAGGGCATCACTGTGCGCAGATTTTCCAGGGCATCGTTCAGCCCGTGCATACGTGAACGTTCTCTGGCGTTGGCTTTGACTCGCCGGGTACGACACCTCTCTTTTCTTGCTTTGGTCATCTTCTTCTTCTTAGGGCCTCTCCTTTTGGGAGCCTGTTCTCCATTTGGTCCAATCTCCTGCTCCTCATCCTCCTCCTCCTCCTCCTCCTCTTCTTCTTCCTCCATATCCTCACTGCCCAGTTCTGTGCAGGAGCGGATTCGCCCACCTACAGTCAGGCCATGGCTTTCTTCTCCATCCTGAGAGCTGCCGTCATCCTCCTCCAGCCAGCCGAGGGAGCTCACCAGCTCACTCACATCCCCACTCTTTCCAAATTGTTTGGTCATCATTTTGATCTGAAAAAACAGGACAAAAAGTCGGTCAACCTCAAGTGTGTAATATCTTAAGGGCTAAATGTAAATGCATGATGCTTCTCCTTAAAATGCACATGTAATCATAATATTTAGTATTGTGATGGAACAGGAACAAGAAGCAGTGCCTGACATAGTGACAGGCAACTCTTGTCCAATGAATAACCGAATGAGAGCTGTCATTTCAGCACTGAATTCTGAACAGCTCACTCCTCTTTTCAAGATCTGGTGGCAACATACCAAAGCCCCATAATTATCCCAAATGTATCATGTGATATTCTGATATTAAGGAATAGATGGCTGTTTTAAGAATAAATGCCCCCCTGCTGTTATACTGTAGTCGCTACAGATCTGTATCTCTAGAGACCCTGTCAATCTGGGACACAACGGGATTTACTCATAAAGCTCAAAGATTATAGAGGCAACATACAAGTCAACAGTTTTTTTTAACATCTTGAAGAATAATGTAATAATAATGCATACAGCCCAAACGCTACAAGAAATGAAAGGACGAGATTGTTTCTTTTTTTTGTACGTCCTCGAACAGATGATTTTCTATTGTTTTGAAAGAAAAAGCTGTCCTAGTTAATTATCGTGCACTAGTGCGTAAAAAAGTAGGACAAATTACTGTAATTTATGAAATCAGAACTTTAGACAGGCAATTGTGTCTAGACTGTATAGAACACAGCAAATATAAGACTTATTTCAGTTTATTAAAATCGACAACATGATTAGTAAATTAACTGTAGTAGATTGTTTTCTGCCCCTGAGAGGACAGCATAAGTGCATGAGGTACATTTAGTAGCAAGACTTTGATCACAAATAAGATCAATTTTTGACCTTTTTCTTTATACTGAACTGATGATGAACAAATGTGTAAACTCACCTGTTAGTATTTACCTCTCGCTCTGTGCAAAATAAAAGAAACACAGGTCTACTTAAAAAAGATCAGCAGCTGAGTGATGTGTCCAGAGTAATTGCGTTTCTCTCTTCGCACATCCGCTAGTGTCCCAAACTCCTCTGCTTTCTCAGATAACCATGAGTGCGCGTGGAACTTTCATCTACAAATGACACGACCGGTCTAATATCGTGGCCTATAGCCGGGTAAGCCCCTCCCCTAGGCGCCCTGCCCACTACCAACTCACCCAAATGCGCGTGGCGGGCTCGTGGCCAGAAATTTAATCCAGCAAATGAGTGAGAGACAGAGAGGGAGTGCGCGCCCGTGTGAACGTGTAGACAGAGTTGTATTAGTAAAGAATGAGTTCCTGAAACACACATTGGAAAACACTTAACTTAATAAATGATGAGTAAAAGAGTATATCTTTCATTGGAGCCTATCCTGCAGTAGGCTACAAACGCACATATCTACCCATATGCATGAGACTTTATACAAACCACAGATTATTTGCCCAACATCGCACAAACGCCAACTTGTTTAGCTTCATCTCACATATAATCAAACATATTTAGGCTACACTATGTAACCTGTTAAGAAGTTTAGCTGAGTCGCTGCATACGTGTTTGGACGCAATTTTAGCAAAAAGCAGAAATGAGGGACAGTACTCACAGCCTTTGCACAGCACTTGAATTAAATATGTTGCCCCGTGCGTTATTAGCCAATACATCGCCACGCTTGGAAATATAGCACTAACCCCCAAAATCCCATATTCTGTTTTAAATCCATAAATTAACCATCTTAATCGATTGTCCATCTCTTCATTAGTTGCGTGGATTTGGAATTTTCCACTTAATTAAACACAGTGTAGGCCTGGTCTTCGCTGAGTAAAGAGACGCTCTTCCATGTGTGCGTATTTAAGTGATGTTGACAGTTTAGTGTGCAGAGAGCAGGTGTGTGCGTTGTTCACCCACTTATTCAATTGTTTTCTTCCATTTTTAGCGTCATATTCTGTCCCCAAGGGCTATCTGATTATTGAATCGATTGGAGCAATGATGAACAGACAGGTACTTTATGGGATAGGCTCAACAGCTGACCCAGGCAGGGGAGATTGTAAATACAGTAATTCCATATTTGCTACTAGCCAGTCAATGATAAATAAATTGTCAATACGGGATATGCTAATTCTCAATTTGTAGTTTATCTTTTTATTGTTTTTATTGTATTATAAAAGTTAAGCATTAACACAGACAATGAATGCAACGCACTCCGTGTAGGTCTTCAAACGACTATATGGCCTTTGTTGTTTATACACTAATCGTTTCTCAATATTGAGCATTTTCCCCAGTTTTGACTATAAATACCGCGGCATAATAAACGCCCGCCTCTCCTCGTGCGTGGCGAGCCGCCGCGCAGTTGGGGCCTATTGTCATCACTGCATTGACAGCTGGGGTCTCGCGAGCCGCACGTGCCCCCGCATTGATACCATTGTGCGCGCGATTGCGCACAGCTGTGTTCGAGACTTAGACTGAACTTTGCCAACTGCACTGTTGGTTCTCCGTGTTTCTGAGTGTGCAACGTATTTGCATGTCTGAGAAATAAGAGGTGGTCACGTGGCTAATCTGCAACATCGCGTAAAAACAGGCACTTATCCAACGATTAATTGAACAGACCCGAACAGATGGCTGGATATAGGAAGCGTTGGGGGTGGGTGGGCATCTGTTGCTTGGATGCTCACGCGTCACCGCTTGTCCAAGATGATGTCTCGTGCTGAAACAGCATTTATCCACCTCGCTTAACGGCCCTAATCACTCCTGGACAATGCACTGGCCATACAGGCATGTGGACAGAGAGAAAGAGGAGCCCTGCCGTTTGTGTGTGTGCCTGTGTGAGTGTGTGTGTGTGTGTGTGTGTGTGTGCGTGTGCGTGTTGCCCCATGTGATGTGTACAGCAACAACTCTAATGTGATGTGTCTAAAGGTCCCCAGGTATATGCACCTCACAACACACAACACACATGCACTACTTTCTCTCCCATGAGTGTGAGAATGGCCTCCACCACACCTGCAGCCTGCATGGGGAATTGGAATCTCGCAGTCTCCCACAATCCCCATTGGTTTCCCAAATGACTGACTGACTAACAGATAGGGAATTGCTTCCTGCTCCCATTTAAGCAGTAACATAGATAACCAGCCTTCTGGAAGAGGTCACGGTGGACACATCTGATCTGAACCAACTTTTGATGAGTTTGCATGATTTTAACCTGGGTATTCCAAAATATTTATCTAACAAATTCAAGTTCTTACAAAGTTATGCAGCTAATTACTGACTTAACATGTTGCTAAGATATATAATGTGTAGCCAATAAAAGTATTTTATTTTGTTTTGAGTTTTTGACACTAAGACTGGCTAAGATGCATGTTCCATTTAGGCATGAGCTGTCCGAAATAAGTCTATGACCAAAAGAGTGGGCCTACCAGTCTCACATTAGCTATTTTAGTGCTGTTGTTGCTATTAATGGGGGTAACCTCCGTCCTTCCAAAAAACGCTGCCACAAGTGAGTTGTCTCTCGCTCTGGTCCCCTGGGACTCAGAGTGGAATGGGAGGGATTCGTGTGCTGCGCTGACAGATGGGTCCTTGTTCCTGTCTTTTTCTTCATCTCTATCTCCCTCTCCCTCTTTCGCTAAAACACAGACACACTCACACACACCAAGACTGCACGAATACAATAGGAATTAAAGCTCTACACACATGCTCCCTGGTCCGCTTCTGAAAGCTGAGCCCCTTGTAGTGATCATAAAAGATGGAGGGAGCGTGGATTTGCAAGAGGGGTTGGCGTGGTAAGGGGTGGGGGTCATGTGGCACGGGATGCTGAGAGAGATGACATTGTATTGTTGACAAACCAAAAATAAAAGTTGGTCGTGTCAACCACTTTCCAAGTTTTGTCTGTAACAGAAAAGTTTCTTGTGCAGGTCTATCTTCAACATATGCATTTTACCTGACTGTTTTCAAGTTTTTCCATTTTATTGCTAAACTGTGTGTGTGTGTGTGTGTGTGTGTGTGTGTGTTAAGAAGTCCCAGGGCTCAGTTCTCTCCATTTGCTGCTCACTGAGGCTGAATATGGTTATAGCAGACTTTGCTGAGGGAGACTGACAGCTTACTGACTCCGCTGCACACAGGGGAACATCAATGGTCTAACACACACATCAACACACACAGACAGTTGATGATATTTTAACTTCAATTAAATCTCTTGATGTTAACTGACTCTTACACCATTCTTTGTTTGTTTTTGTTTTTATTTTTCACTGCAAAACATATTTAAGTGAGATATTTCAGATAAGTCTAAATGTTGAATCCTTTTAAAAGTGAAACCTCAAGCCAATTATTTTTACTTAATATAACTTAATATATCCGTTTTTCTCTATGTGGAGATCAAACTATATTAATCATTAATATCACAACATAAATTCAAGTTTACGGTGGCAGGTTTTCACTGTGCAATATGCACAGTGAAAATGTACCAATGTACCAATACATCTTTATATATATGAACACACAAGATACACGATAGACTCGATTATCTTTATCTCCTTTTGTAGGAATATAATCCCATGTTTTGACTTGACACCAGTATAAACATTTTTTGGGCAAATGGCTTTCCATATAAAACTAAGATGTCAACAACTTAGAGTTGTCTGGTTTACAAAGTGAGTCTTGATAATAGCAGAATCTCATCCAGGCAATATGAACAGATTTTGTGCATCTTATTCCTCTTCCTTTGGGCTAATGGATTTGGAAAACATTCCAATTGGGCAGAAATGTAGCTATAGAATGGGAATCAGGCCTGAGGGCAATTCTCACTAAGTGGAGAGAGAGCCACTAAACAAAGGTGCCTGTGGTTTCATATTCAGGATACTTTACAGCCTCCGTCCCAGGACATCAACAGTGTTTTTGGGTGTGCTGTTAGAGGGGGCAGAAGAGGGGGAGGAGGATCCATCTGCCATGCTGCCGGCCCTCAGGGAGACGGGCATATCCCAAGGGTGTTTTGGAGAGAGAGGGGCTGAAAGGATTACACCCAACCACTAATCAACGACGGTAATCTGTGGGCTCCCGTGCAAAATCCCCACCGATCCAAATAACAATTTGGGACAGAAGAAAAAACCTCAGCGTACAGGGGCATGTAACTGATGTTGTACAACCTGACAAATCCAAGAACAAATCCAGGTGACTTTTAATTGGGAGCCTCAACGGTGGAGGTGTGATTGGCAAAGAGCCATCGTGTCTCTGTGATCAGGTGCAAGTGTCCCACAAGTGGCCTCTGATTCCCAGTGTGACCATTATGCAAATACAAAAAAACTAGGTAAGCCTGCAACATAAATTAGTCTAACGGATAAAAGCACTTTTCCAATCAAATCAGATTGCAAAAGGTATTTCTTGCATTTTTGGTGGACGTGACCCAAAATAACAAAATATTAGAAATTGTAAAAACATTTCATGAGTGTTTCACACGTTTATTTATTTGTCATTTCTTTACAGGAATCAGAAATTGCTGTCATTTGTCTGTAGTCTTGAAGATGAACCTCCAACAGCTGATTTCATGTTGTCACAAGGTGAATCCTGCAGAAAAGTTTTCCCTGAGCCGTCCAAAGCATTTGAAACAGCAGGAACCTACACAAGGTGCAGCTGCTGAGTTATTGTCCTGGCAGGTCTTTCCATCTGATAAAAGAATAGCAGGGAATCAAGTTACCACTAGTTTCATGGTCCCTTGTCAGTATGGTTTTGATGTCTGGGGTCTGGGTGGGGTCTGGATCTGGTAGTGGTGGGTTTAAAGCTCCACAGAACTAAGACGCTGCCTAATGATGGTGCCAGTCCTCCAGGGCATAGGGAACTGGAGCATCCTGGCCTGCACCACCTCTACCTCCTGCAGTATGCCCATTGGCTAGGCAGCCTCTAAGCCGCCTATCCCCATAGCCTCATTGTTTAGTGGGCCCAGCACTGTCAATATTAAGCCTGGCTAATGTGATCTAGAGGCAGCTGGAGCAGCCCCGATTATTACCATGACACAGCCGAGTGAGGGGTGTAATATCATTAAAAATAAATCAGGTGGTTTGGAGATTTGCTGTAGCATGGGGGACTTTGAATGACATTAAAGTGGGAGAACTGCCATAATTTCATTAGTCAGTAGGGCCCCTCAAAGGATCTCTTGAAACATTTCCTTTAAGTTGGAGTAATTGAATTTGCTTTCACAACACTGCACACAAAAATACAGAAAGGGAAAACGATGACGGTAATGTTTCCAATTAAGTGTCTAATAATTTAGAAAATTAATTTCAGACATGTTAAGAACTATGCAGACACCTGGATATAGGATAATATTTCAATTAGCTAATTATGGTATGCTATATTGTAGGTAATCTATTTGAAAGCAGACATTTAGGATATTCCTATTGTTATTATTAGCCTCTTGGGGTGGATTATTGTTGCAAATGATGAGGAAAACGTGAGCCACTGCTAATCTTCTTAAACTGCTTGCCACTGAGCTGTCTGCTCGGCAGACTCATCAGCGATCAGCTGGCAATAGGCTGCAGGCTGACAGAATCTAATTAAAATTTCAAAAAAATAATAATAAAAAGCTATGTTTTAGTTTTTGTATGTATGTAGATAATCGGAATGACTTTTTAAGGTTGTCTTTTCTCTTAATTATGCATGTTCGATCCGGTATTAAAGCGCCAGGAGTGCCGTTGGTCTCGCAGCAAGGGTCTTATGTCGCTATTGTTTTGACGCTCGACCCACATAAACGGTAATTTCAAGGCCCATTGAGCGCGCGATGGATTGTTCCAAAAATCCACTGAGGAGTGGGGAGCATTGATTATTGGAGGAACGGGTAGAGTGACGCCAGAAGTTGTAAATCTGTTTTCTCTGCAGTGACGTTAAATTCAATCATAAAACATCGAAATAGGGCGTCACTCTTAAAGCCATGGCTTAGACCATTTTACTGAAGTTAAGTACACAAGTATCAGGCTACCATAGAAATATAGCCAACTTGAATTAGTCCTATATGGTCTTATACCAAAAGAAAAAGCACAGGTAGAAAAAGGATTGTGCCGAATGGCCCATTTCTATTAATTATGTAGGTCATATTATATTATAGTATTATAATCTATACATAACAACTTATGTGTTGCTTATATTTTGTATTATTATTTGAGTCTGCCAAATGTTGTGGAGTAAAAAGTACAATATTTCCCGCTAAAATGTAGTGGTGCGAAAGAATAAAGTCGCAGAAAATATAAATACTCAAGTAAAGTACAAGTACCTCAACATTCTAGTTAAGTACATACTTGAGTAAATGTAGCCTATTACTTTCAACCACTGGATGGATACACAGACAGAGAGATAGAAATGCAATGCATCATCATCGTTATTATCGTGACAAATACTGTTCTTTTTTAGTCACGGGGTCTCTGTTGTATCAAACCATGCATGAGGTAGACCTGCAACTCAATTAAATAACGGATTTGTGTTTATTGAGTTGAAGCAAGTTGAAGCCAAGAGCGTTAGTGATCGTGTCTTCCTGCTGTATAATAGGGACATCTAGTGGCACTATTTTGAACTACTGTCTCCTTTTGGCTGTGTCATGTTGTACATACTGTGCAGTGTTTCTGGATTTATATCACTGCTGCATTAATGTGTCTGTTGCATTTCACTGCTTAAGGTTGTGGAAAATTGAACTCCTTTATATACTATTGAGCAGTTAAATCCACAGCGATACATTATATTCTAAAAGATCGTCATATGTTTGTGGTGTCACATGGTAAAAACCATGTATCTCTAAAAAATCAACTTTTCATGAGCTCAGAAAGCAGCTCTGTTTTCAGCTTTGTGACCATGCATGTTACAGCGAATACAAGAGGGGTTTTCATTGTTTATTTATCTTAAGAAGTAGGGAGATCTTCTCAACCAATAAAGGAACACCCCATCTTTCAGTTTATCAGACATAAACAAATTCAAAATCACCAAGAGATTGGAGATACATGGTTTTCAATGGACAGGAAGTGTATGAAAAAAAAATGAACTGAAAAGTAAATAAGGCTGTCAGACAAATAGTGCAGTAAAAAGTACAATATTTGCCTCTGTGAGTAGAAGTAGAAAGTTGCATAAAATACAACAAAGTAGAAGTATCTACAATTCTACAAGTACAGTACTTGAGTAAATGTACTGCATTCCACCACTGGGGAAATAAGAACTATAGACTAATAGCACAAAATACCCCATTACCATGGAAAATAAACCAAAATAATACATTCAAAAGTTGACTTAAACAAATCTTATATACTCATTATGCAGCAGAATGACACTGTCAGTGTTATATTAGTATAAACATATGAATTATACATTATTTAGGTGCATTAAACAGCATTGTAATGTTGCAATGGTGGAGCTTTTTTATACATTTTTTGTATACACTTTAATCAGACTGTAATTGTGGATCATACTTTAAAGATGATCCACATATATAATCATTCACATTTTAAATATTAATCTGCAGAGTAATTATACAGCTGACAAATAAATATAGTGGAGTAAAAAGAATAATTTACCTCTGGAATATAGTGAAGTGGAAGTATAACATAGCATAAAATGTAAATCCTCAAGTCCAATAAAGGGTAGATAATACAGTTGCCTAAATGTAAACAAAAATAAATGTGCATTGTGTATTATTCTGTCATAAACAACATGCACATAACATAACATTTATAAAACAAGGTGGAAATGAGGAAAACCAAACAAAAACATCTGAAGACAAAAACATCACATCTATTATTAGCTGCATGCTGATTTGTAATGAGACACCGAATATATGACACTCCTTATAACATGTCTTCACAAGTCTGAACATAGGCTATAGGCTAAAATATTTCGATTGAGCTTGACAAAGAACCCCCCCCCCACACACACACACATTTCTGACCCAAATAAAAGCATGGGCTTGGAGTGATACAGCTGAGCCAACTTCTTTCTATATCGATCCCCCTCTTCATACATTTGAGCTTTCATCTCTACTCCTCCTATGCTTCGCTTGACAACTTCACTCCCATGCTATTCTATACGTCCACCTCTGCCTCATCCAACTGCCAGTCCCTGAGCATCATCGGCATCATCAACCTGCTTTTATCCTCCCCTCCCCACAGCTCCACAGGATATGCACAACTGACACACTTTATTCATAGCTTGATACCTCCTCTCAGCAGCCACACCAGCAGCTGGTGCAGAGATTTTAAGTTGTTGGCTGCCCACGACGTTAGGAATGGCTCCGAAAAGAGAATCCTCCATTAAGAAGTCTCCTTCAACAGTGACCCAGCCCAGACTGGGGCCTCCTTACCCCTGCCTCCCTGTGGCTCCTGTGGATCCAAAACCGGCTCCAGAGCAGAAACCTAGGATGCTGCGTCCTTCGGATTCACCATTCGACCCCACTGCTTTGGAGGTGAGTGTGGACTAAATAAGCTTTTTATGACAAAGCTAATATGGGGCATTCATAAACTAGGACTATATTTAGAAATGCCATGTACTATATCATCTATGATTTAATGTACAGTGTTTAGTCATCTTTAGCAAGATGGTAAATCTAAAGAGTAATTTGTTTGCCATTTAGTTCTGTGAAAGCATGAAATGATGATTAGTTGCTAAGTAGCTTTCTACGATATCGATGCTAATAAACTGCCTCAATCTGGAATGAGACTGAATCTAAGCTAAGCAAAGAAATGGGGCACTGAAAGTGAGAATGTCAGTCAGTGACCTCCTTAGGGAGAAAGAGGCTGTTTTCTGTCACAATTTTTTCTATTTCTTTCTTCAAGAAGAAGATTCCAACAAATGAATGTGACCTACACACCTATTAATATTATCATTATTACAAGAAGCAAAATAACAAGAGAAAATCACGAATTCAACTCAAAGTCAGGACATTTTTATTCTTCACTCGATTAATAATTTAGAGAGGTTTTACTTGCCCCACTTTTCAAAGCTAGAAACTGGCTGCAAAGAAAATGGACCTCCCCATACTTCTGTCCTTTGACTGAAATAACAGTTTGTGAGATACATCCCAGATATAACTTGACCAACCTGTGGCACTTTGTCTACTGTCATATTACAGATATAGTACAGTCTGTCTATGTAGTGATACATGTTGGCTGCTTATGTTATACAACACATAAGGCAATAAGGCATTGAGCAAATAGAATGATTCTTTAAAAACGGTGTCCTTTATATTGTATACTCTGGAAATGAAGTACATATTAAGTTGATACATTTAATTAGCAAATATAAAATGTCAATAAATACAGGAATTTAGTAAACTAAGTAAGTACCTTGGCCAAATAAATAGTGTGAGCATTACAAATGTCCAAGCTATTGGTGTTCTCAGGTAAAAGGCAGGGATAGATCAATCAGACAAAACATAAATGTAAAGATGTCTTGAAGAAACTCAAACTATACTGATGCCCACATTAGACTTTGTACTAATGTGCTTTATCTTTGTTTGTGCTTTAGCTTTGCTGCCATTCTCTAGTGCTTTAAGTGTTACACTGTGTTGCTGTTACTACACGATTGTATGGAGCGAGACTGTCCCATTTAGCCTGTGAGGATATGTGGGTCATGTTAAGACATCCACTTCTGCTCACAGTGGGACCACGGACATGACAATAGGCCAGAGTTCCTGCTGGGAAAAGACAGTGCTTTAGCCAAGGCTGTGAAGAGATACGACATCAGTCCATGATCTCACAGGCCTAAAGGAATCCATCATTCCTGCATGGCCAGACACTCATATCCTTATTGCAAAGCCTAGCAAAGTCATCCAATCATGCATTCATTACCCAAGTCGGATCAAAGTCAAACACAAACTCCAAAGGGACAAATATTTTTTAAAACATATTTAAAATCATGTCCGAATCAGAACACACATCACTTAACATTGGGTCCATTGACTCTCTGCCTACTTTGTAAGGTTAAGGGCAGGCTGCTTTAAAGTAATATATATTTAAGATCCCTTCTGAGATAAAATACTGTCTTTGGAATGATAATTTGTGTCTGATTTGTTTTTTTAACAAAAAAAGTGAACCTTGATAAAAGCTCTTAACCCAGAAACCATGAATATGCACTGGCCTATTGCTAAAGAGTTTACATACTTGACACACGATGTATCCTACTTCACCGATTTCATTCTCTATTTCACTCCGTCTGTATGTGCACTGGAGACTTCAAATTTCCCATATTGTGATGTCACAAAATCTTGCTTTCCTTGGATTTAAGATTAAGATTTAAGGTGAGCACAATAAGCAAAGCAACACGTATTTCTGAGAGGAGGGAGGCTTTAAATCCGTATTTAAATCCGTGCATTATTAATGTAAAGACAGGCTGATCAGAATATGTGAAATTAAACAGTTAAAGTATACAGTTGCGTATTACATGTAGCCTACCTGTCACCTCAATCATAAAGTGAGTAGTTCAAGCGTTAAGGTTTAAAAATAATGTACTGCATATCACAAAACATACCTTAATCTCTATTCCTATATATGGAGTCTAGTTGTTCGCCTCATGCGTTGACGTCGTGCGTCATACGTCATGACGCACTGCCGCTATAGTTTAGGTTTTCTCCTTCCCACCCAGCCCTTCTCTGAGAACCGTCACACATTCTTTGGTTTGCCGACCACTCGGACACACCTCAGCCAACACAGCCATGGTGGGTTTTTCAACTCGGCTAACGTAGCAATTTGTCTTTGTGTAATTAGCTTCTTGTCTCAAGAAAATAGTTTAGCTTTTCATATATGATGAGTTGAGTTTGAAATGTCGGAATTGGCTCGCGGGTTGCTAGCGGAAGTGCAACTTTTGAGAAGCTAACATTAGCTCGCTCGGTAGATGGATTAAAGTTAACATTCACACGACATTCTAATTAATGTGCTCCAAAGACCCGCGTGTAGACTAACTGTTGCTGAATGTGCTTCTGTTATGGAATGTATTGTTTGAGTAAATCTAACTATCCGAAAAAATATGTGCAAACGCCTTTGAAGTTAACCCAAGCTAGCTTATTGCAGAGCAAAAGGATCCATAATCATGTAGCCCAATTTCTCTTTGAACAGTCTGACTTCTCGGAAGATCAAATCCTTGGTGAGTTTTGATTCTGTGTCGTGACACTTTGAAGATCTCTCTTGTTTTGCATGCTTTCATTCTTGCTTGGTTAAGATGACACTTTCCCCTGTATCTCCACTATCACCTTGCTCTATGCCCGCCTGTCATGTCGTTAGTTTTTAGGCTAAACTTTAGGTTATCCTTCTTAATTTCTGTACTGTTTCATCACTTTCCACTTGCAACTGCTTGTCCTTTCCAGATTGAGTTTAACCTGGATCAGATTCATGGTAAGTCCGTGAAAAGGGGAGCGCCTTAGCACAGACCTGATGGCTCTCTCGATCGGAGTGTTTAGGGTGTGATCTGCATGTTACTTTTGGGTAAACCTAACGTTAACCTGTTTCAACCGTGAAGTAGAGTCGCTTTGCACTGTTGTTTGGTCCGTCACAAGTCAGTCACATTTTTGCATACAACGTTATAATACTTTAACCGTGTGCTGCAGTGTTTTTGTATGTGGTCAATCATGCATTAGCGGTACATATGAAGCCAAATATAGCCAAAGCTCACATGTGTTATAAGCCAGTCCTGGTTGTGTCAGTTAGCCATAAACTTTGCCTGTTATCTTCCAGCGTGCCCTTTTTTGGTGCTGGATACAGTGGTGCATGCGTTTGTCCTAGGACTGGTTTGTTTAATCGCAGTTGACATAATGGGCTATAGCTACACTCACTCTCCACCTACTTTGCTCCACTCCTCTATTACCAAATATGGTGTTGGGAAAAGTGCTCACACGCCAGAAGGGAAGAGTCACATTCCTCAGAACAGGAATAAACAGTGCCTGAGCTTTTTGGGGAATAGCTTGCTTGTCCCATAACATTTGGACCAGACTGCTGCCTGGATATTGTGTAATCTGACTGCATGTCGCCCAGATTACTATGTTTTAGCTAAGCTTATTGTTTGACTGTTGAGTCTAACTAGAATGCCTGATGTTGGATCAAAGCTACGTTAATCAACCGTGTGATCATTGACAACATTACATTTGATAAAGCCTAGTTATTTCTTATTAATACATAGTAACTTGAGTAAAGGTGTTGGTAGACAACAGTTAACATAAAACAATTAGTTTATTCGTTCAATATTTTATGTTTATCAAGTGGAATTGTCAAATATTTAGTTGTTTACAGCGTTTCAATTGAGATTTGCCTGCTTTTTACGTTTTAAATATCTTCTTTTTTCTACCATTGGTCACACAAAATAAGCATTAAGATCTGAGGCAACTTTTTACATGTTTGAAGCTTTTATCTGATGTTGATGTTCTGCAGGAAATGTGTGCTTCTGTTTAGTCCTAAAGCAGGGGGATCTTGGCATTTACAATGTCCCTTCCTTTAGCCATTATCTTAGAGTTTTGTTTATTTTTTTTAAATCTAACATACTATATCCATACCCGTTTGTTTTGGTTCTTTATTTAAGGCATGCTATACATATTTACCGTTACAATTTAAACCCCTTTCCATGATATTACGACATATTTTAAGTCTTTGGAAACTAAATGCACAAGTGTCGGCATGTTCAAACTACGACAGAACATGTAGTGGTGCACTGGTAAAGTTGTTTAAAACTTGTTTTTGTCAAGGTGTAGTGAAAAAGTCATAGACCAACCAGATGACTAATGTGGATACGCAGTATTTGCTGAATTGAGGAAGTTAGAAAAGTGTTTAGAGAGCAAGCTGTTGCAACCACAGTCTAACATGCAACGGTTCAAGTAATGAGATGCATAAAAGACTTTTTGATTTTTGGAGCGTTTGAACAAAGCGTGTCCATCAGTTTGTGTTTGCCCGTGGATTTGTGCAGTTTATTCATACATCTTTTATCCTGGATAGACTAGAGTGGTATATGAAACATACACAGGTTATTCAGTGTAGTGCTGTGTCCTGTCTGCTCACTTTAAATGTAGGCCCACTGGCAGAAAACCAGATCATGTCAAAATCTTTGCTTTTCTTGTCTGCCTGTTGTCATTTATTGGCTTTTCTGATTTCATCTATTTCCAGGTCTCTTACTATCTCCATATCATTCCTTCATAGCTGTCTGCTGATCTCTTCATGTTTTACAATAATTCATAACCCTGCCCTAACTCGTCCCGTGTCTGTGTATCCTGCAGAGTTTAAGGAGGCATTCTTGCTGTTCGACAGGACAGGAGATGGAAAGATTAGCTTCAGCCAGTGTGGGGATGTCATGCGGGCCCTGGGACAGAACCCTGTCAATGCTGAGGTGCTCAAGGTCCTGGGCAACCCCAAGGCTGAGGGTGAGAGAAACAAAAATAAACCTGATGGGAGTTATCTCTTTTAATGTACATGCATGATGAAATTGTCACTGCGCTTCTTATGATTTTAATCTTCTGGTGGCATAGTGTGTTTTGCAGCTGGAGGCAAACAGACTTTCCTCATATGTTTGTTTATTTTCACAGAGATGAACCACAAGATGCTCGACTTTGAGCAGTTCCTGCCCATGTTCCAGGCCATCGCTAAGAATAAAGATCAGGGCTCCATGGAGGATTTTGTGGAGGGACTGCGTGTCTTTGACAAGGAGGGCAACGGCACAGTAATGGGAGCAGAGCTTCGTCACGTCCTCACCACGCTAGGCAAGTTGCATTTTTATCACCCTTGAATAGACTGCTGGAAGGGAAGACTATGTTGATTTAATGTATACACACTATTTACATTTTTTTTCACTTACACAAAAATACTGTAATCCCCACAATGCATGGCGTCAATGCAAAATGTATTTGCTGAAAACGGAATTTACATGGTATCAAGAGTAACCTATTTGCATGTTATTAATTTGGCATAATCGGGTGTGCAAGTGTGTTTTTAGTGTTATCTTAGTTTTTACTTATCTTTTACTTACCTGTGTACTTCTCTTTTATTACTTGTTCATTTTTAAATCATGGTAATGTCACCCATGTCTTATGTATTAATGTTTTTCTTTTTCAGGTGAGAAAATGTCAGAGGAGGAAGTTGAGACGCTCTTGGCGGGACACGAAGATGCCAATGGCTGCATCAACTATGAAGGTGAGAGGGAAAGTAATACACAACAATGTGTATAATACACAACAACTTGCCATGATTTGGCTGATGGTGTGCGTGACAATCCTGTTGCCACATACCTGCTACTGTCAATGAAACCTCATACCCTGCCATAGCAATGTGTTAATGAAACTACAGTCGGCACATGCATTATACTGTGCGGTGTGTCCTCCTGCCCCCCTTAAAGATTAAAATATAATTTATATATATTTTATTTACCTAATTTATCTGCACTGTGTTTCACTGAGGACGGGGCTCTATACACACCGTGTGTGTATATGTGAGCAGGAAGATGTCTTTCAAACACTGGCAGTCCGTTCACTTGTTGCCCCACTACCAATATCAGCTGCTGTGTTTCATTGATGTTAGGCTGAACAAAAACGTGCTTTCAGGCTGAAATTCTTCTGTGGTGTTAAAAGCAGTCACCCAGGGGAAAACACTGTCCTAGTTATCTGAAGGCGGTCATTGGAAGCACCTCTTTTAACTACTAAAGTGTCACCACAGTAAGCCAATGCTTGATTTAGTCTTACGATGTGGGTATCCATCCTCTTTACTGTCTTTTGTGCGTCTTTACACTTGTGGTTAATTGACTGCTGTAAGAGGCCGTGTATAACGGTGTGTTAACTGTTCTTCCTCCACAGCATTTGTCCGCCACATCATGTCAGGCTGAGGGCCGGTACGGGCATTTGGTATACCATGAGATTGCACCTCCAGGCTTTCCTGCATTTTAGTTGTTAAATAATCCCCTAACGCTTATCGGCTGTAGTTTTGCTCTTCATAATTTGCGAACAGGAACAGTGTGCTGTTGCAAAGTAGATTTGACCTGTAGGTGCCTGTGGGAAAGCCTTGTGGTCCCTCTCATATTTAGTCCTGAGACTTTGACCGATGTGTAGCCTCCTGCTGTTCTGTCTCTCCTACAGCCGTCTGTCTTGACCCCTGGCTGCCGCATGCCCCTCTGCATGTGTCTGAGACTCCCCTCAGTTTATAAGGGGGATATGATGGACACACAGGGAAGTGACTGGTCTCATTCAGGGGAGAGCCTGGTGGCCACTGTCGAGTTATTTGAGCTGATGGGTGTGGATGTCACAAGGCAGCTCTTCTAATCTCATTTGCATGTCATTTACGCTATTAAAATAGGCTTTTTCCTCTGTTGGTGTTAGAGGTGCTGCTCTTATCAAACCGATAAAATAGACGGTTCATTACATTGTAGACATTTTCCTTACATTTGAATATAGCCACCAGCTTTGGGAGAGTGGACCAGTCCCTTTTTTCTACTAACCAGAGAAATGCAACGAGTTGCTCTTGTGCTGATTATTTTCTCCTCTCTACTCATGGAAGCTGAATTTGTAGCTGGCCGCTGTCTGACTGGACTTAGCTCCCTTGACCGTCTCCCCTTTTCTCTGCTTCTCAACTAGAGGAAAGCATACAGCGAGGATGGCTTCTCTAACCAGCTCTTCTCGGATCACAGACATGGCCATATGCTTTGGCTAAATAGGAGATGGAGATGATTATCTCACCTCTTTCTCTCAGTACCGTCTTCAACCCTTCTCTCCTGCGGGGGAACAGAACATGTGGGGGATCTGCCTCCAAATGCAGCATCTCCCTCCCAGGATCTAGAGCACGACTCTCACGCCTGTCTCTCTTGTGTCTTTTACAGAACTGGTCAGGATGGTCATGAACGGGTGAAGACGAAGATCGACCAGCTTTTTCTACCCTGTCACTTATACCCTCTTTTTTTTCCAGATAGCTTTTACAACACCTGTCCCACCCAACCTTTTCCATGGATTGGTTTTCCACATTCATTTGATTTAAGAAGTGCCTTTACATTCCCTACAAAGACCACAAATGGCCCTGGCTATTGCTGCCAGGTCCATTCACAAATGTGACCAACTTATATGCATTCAAGAGTCTTAATGCTTGCATTGTTTGCAATAACATTCCAAGATGCAGCAATTAAGATGAGATCAATTGATAATGATATACTGTAAATATTGATACTAGTGTGTCAATTTTGGATGGGACATTAATATATATATATATATATATATATATATATATATATATATATATATATTAAAAAATATATATATATACGTGTACATGTATGGTATACAGCTGTCAGCAACCTACTGTATCATTGGCTAAGAACTTCTTTGGCTGAGGAATGTGCTCCTCTAATCCTGCGGTAAACCAGTATATTCAAAACCACACTTTCATGATGTAAAGTAACATTTCAAATGAGTTCCCATGTTTTAATTCACCCCAATTTTGTTGCTGCATTTAAATAAATGTTTTTCCTGAAAACTAATTTGGGTGGTTTTGAGATGATTTGTTTGATTTGATGGAATAAGGTGTGAGCTCTGTTTCTGCGTAGTCTTCTTAGGTTTTGTACAATACGTTGATGCTTTTCCATCAACACAAGAGGGCAGTGTTGCTGCTGGAATCTGCTCGTCAGAAGGACCAAATTATTGTTCAGCGTATAATACAAGAGGTATATCTTGATCTGCTGTTAATGCTTTGTTTTGGTTTTTGCTAAATAAATAATTTTAAGTAAATCATGAATGTAAGCTTTAGCGCTCCAGTCAATCTTCTCTTTCATTATTTGTTTGAGACATGTTATGGTATCTCATAATTGGTTGCCATTGTTTAGTGACATTGCAAACTCAAATTTCAACCAATGACATTTTTCGTGGCCATGCTGTACATTGTCCAAGGAATGAGTCGGTGACAAAGCGCCAAGATATTGGCAGTAGAAGCCTGTTTGGTGGCTTCCTGACCTTTTCTTCATTTTCCTCACAAGCAGCCACAACTATTTCCTCTCATTAGGCACCACATCGTTTGGAGTGTGCAGCTTGTGTGTGTGGGGGGGTGGTATGGTTCAGGAGGGTGTCGTAGTCCACTGCTGAATAGGTTGTCCACTAATTACTCAGTGTGTATGTGTGTGGTCGATGGAAGTCAAGGCTATTGATTATTTTAATCCTCCTATTTGTGAGTCTGTGATCCTCGTGGCTCTGCATTCAACAGGGGAATCGCTAATGGGCCTCAGCGCGGCCTGTCTCAGACCTCTCCCCGTCCAATTAACTTTCAACTCGAATCTGCCAGCAGAGAGAGCCGGGGGCTGGGCCCAGGCATGGCTCGGGCTACATCCCGCCGTGTCCGCTCAGGAGCAACAGATTCACCAAATCCTTTAAGTCTAGAATGCCGTCAGCTCTCTTCTCTAATTAGACACTTTACTTTTTGCCAGTAATCTAAGAGGTATTCAAGATTCATTTTCTTTAACATGGAGATGACCTCCCTTGCTCTCTCTCTCCATGTTTAAGGAACTGTTAAAGTGGCAATATTGGAAATTGAGATCCCTTGAATTAACTGGTGACATTAACCAGAAAACAATGCATAGTGTGGACATTTTCATCAACTGCCTGTAGTTTTGTATCTCGTATAGTTTTATGTGTAATGTGAAATCACACCCACAGTTCCAACACTTGGTGTTCATCAGTTCTTTCATGCCAAGTGTAACAAAGTAGGGTTTATAGACCATTCATAAACGTAAGGACTAAATGTATTACAAATGTAATTTAAATAAAGAGCTAATGGTGAGTTAATTAAATATACATTGGTTCTTGTATACGTATTGCCTTTCTTCTTTAATTTGAAATAAATACACCTATAATACGGATTATTAGCAAATTGTGAAAATATCAGAATAACAGTCAGATAGTTGATAGAAAATTAATCATTAATCTCTTTTAACTATTTATCAAAACATTCAATTTTCATTGAAACAAATCTCCACAGGCCCCAGCTTCTCAAATGTAAGGATTTGCTTATTTTCTTTCTAATGGTATTAAACTGAATGTCTTTGGGTTTTGGGCTGTTGATCAGACAAAACAAGACCAAAAAATAAGCAGATTATTCAAGAAAAGGATTTGTTAGATGAATCAATAATGAAGTCATTAATTTTAATCGACAAGTAATAAAAAAAAAAAATTTCATTTCCCTTAGCCCTGTATATATGTATATATGTATATATATATATATATATATATATATATATATTTTCAGAAATCTAGTTTCTCAAATAGGCTGGATAAGTGTGTGAGTGTGTGTAAGAGAGCGCGAGCACAGCATGACTTCCATAAAATTAAGCGTGGGATTATCAGTAAATTGAGATAAATGTACTAATATTATTTAAGGAAGTTTTCACAAATTCCCTGGATTTATTTCTTGTCATTAGTGGGCTCGCCAGCAAATGATCTTGGGTCAAAAGTCTAATAAACAATGTCAAGCCTCATCCATCAAACACTGAACCAATTTAGTTTGTTTGTACAATTGATGACTATATTCTAAGATTCAACTTGTAAACATCGGCTGGATTTTGTAGATCCTGGGTGTGTTATGAGCAGAGATCAATATAGCGGTATTAATGTTTGTGTCTTAACAGTGTCTTACGACGTATTGGAAATCCATGTTGTAGCAGACCGAGGCTGTGGTCCGCCACTGTTTGTTTGATCTCAGCTGTAAGTCCACGAAGCCATTTCATATATCCAATTCTCCACAGTCGGTCCAAGTGGTCACTCCAATTAAAACTGAACAACGGTCTGCATGCATTTCTGATGATTTATGTTGAACATGCGTACCTTTATTTAGCCCTGACCTTCACCATGCCAAAACAACATGCAAGAACACAGACATGGTAGGTATAGATATTTTTAATAGCAGTTCTCTACTCGGCCTATTCAACATGGCAGTTAGCCCATCCCAGGATTACTGTGCTGATACATATGATGATACTTTGACAGGGTCTCTCAAAAATAAAGTACTAAGTAGGTATGGCAGTGTAATTACAGTAACGTGCCTGTAATGTATTGTACAACATTAAATGTAAGTCAAACACTGCAGATGTTCATTTTCACTGCTGCATTATATTACAATATCTATATATCCACTCATACTACTGACCCCACACACACACACACACACAATATTATCAATAATGCACTTGGCAATTAAAACTTCATCACACACAAGTGCCATCCATAAAATGCGATGTCTTATAATATGTCTTGCTGCGATATCCTGCTTCATGATGGCAACAGGAAAGAGAGGTCAGACATCTGTGTTCATTCAGATGGCCTTATTTTGATCAGTATGGCCTCAATGCAGATTGAATCACAACAGGGATTTCATTTCAACTGGTGTTATTCACTTTAGGGAAAACAATATTTCACAATGAATTGCAGAATATAGGCAGGCCATTCGGTCAGAGGTCACTGGAATGGACAGCAGAAATGTATAAGGTAAAGACTGGAATACAGTCCATGTATTTGCCTCAGCTTAGTCATTGTGATTAATGGCACCCTCAACACCATTATTGCATTAAAAAAACAATTATGCTGATAGTGATTGTTATATTCTAGTTCTCACAATGTCAGTTAATACGGAACACATTAAAGTATTTTAGATATTTCCGAGCCGCAACGTGCAATTGTTATGTGCACCTATACTGTACATCTTCTGTTATTCATATTTGCACAAAGGGCGCCATTAATTGCAGTTGCTTATTATTGGCTCAAATTCACGCAACTCGACTTAATTCCACTTATCTTTGACTTTCACTGGATCCGTGCTTTTGTAGTCTGTTTGTAATCTCAGCATGTCTGTATGTGTGTGTGTTTGCTTGCCTTGGTGTATGTATATATTTGTCTGTCCATGTCGAGAGTCTGCATGTCTGTATATGTGCATTGATTGGCATACGTTCATGTCTGTGTAAGTGTTATTATGTCTAAGTGTGTGTGTGTTGGTGTCCAGTCCATGCGAGGAAGGATTAGATTCAGTCTGGGTAGATGAGGAAACCGGAGAAGGTGCTGTACTTGTTTGTGTTCCCTCCGTGGACCTTCCCTCCGTCCAGCTGCACACACACCTCATCACCCACGTCCAAATGCAGGATCACACTGTTGGAGGCGTAGTCGTAATTCTGATCAGCGTCCTGAGCGATGGCGCTGGCTCTTACCTGTCACCCACAGAGGACATACGCATTGACAATTAGAACATGGAGGAAACTCAACAAACACTTGCAAATGTCACCGCCACTTATTCAACAGCTCCAGCAGCTCAGCAGCTCTTTAAAATCAAAACCACTATCTCATTCCTTTATCACATTTTTTTTTTCAGGCTGGATCATGATCAATTATTAACAGCCTTCAGATGAGACACTCGTGAGTATGACATCACCTCTGCAGTCATGCTGGATAAACAGATGGATGGGATTGTGACCTGTGACCCCAAAGGTGGAATGAGAACACGACCACTATGCCTGTTATTGATCAGCTGTGGCTGAGGCTCACAGCTGGACGGAGGGTGGAGATCTGAATGGGTTGTGGAGATAAGCGGAATCATTGGGGACAACAGGTTGTCCACGGGGAAACTAGCTCGGCCGAGAAACAGCATCGCTATCCACATCAGCTATTGACCTGTTACTTGTGATCCTAGGGCCAGTTCAATATGCATGATATTGAGTGGCTATGCCGAAGCCAGACAGTTTCACATCTGCATGCTGTGTGTGGGTTCGGTGTTATTGACCCAGCAGCAGTGGATCTTTACTTGTTTGTTAACACATTTAATTGGGTTTACTCATTGTAGATATTTAAATACACATGCTTGGATTGCGACATACCAAGCATACCACTGCATTATTTCATGTCTTTTTTTTTTTTTTAAACTGGCATGTACATGTCAGGGGCATAGAGTAAATAGTGTCTGTATATTATAGATAGATAGATAGATAGATAGATAGATAGATAGATAGATAGATAGATAGATAGATAGATAGATAGAAAAAGTGTAATTGTACAATTCCTAAGTAGAGTGTATCAATAATTCTTGTGTAGCAGCTCGAATCATCAGACATATGTCAGCCATCAGTGGCCTTGTGTCTGGCTCACTGTCCATCTACGGTGGGAGCACTCAATCCGTGTCAGCAGCCAGACAAGACACTCACATCTCCATGACAGCCAAAGAATATGATCTGCAACTCAACTACCATCATGTCATTCCCATCACTGGGGCCTCTTTCTCCCCAACGAGCATGCATCAATTTGAAAACAGTCAATCACTGAGCAACACAGCCTGAATTACTGTCACAGAAAAAGTATGCTCTTATCCCTGTGCACCTATCCATTTTGCCATTGTCTGACAGCCATATTGTTCACCATCTATCTACCCTGGTGTTGTGTATCTGTAGGTCTTCTCCTTAAATTAAATGCAGGTCATGGATGTTGCATCCGAGATACTGCATGTTGGTGACCAGTGGTTAAGCATCTCCCTGTCTAAAACAGATTGATTAAGGGTGCAGAGAAGTCAGTCTCCTGAGGCTTCACAGCTCAATAACCACACATAAAAACCAACCACAGCGTTTGTTACACTACTACAACCGTCTTGTTTTGTTAGATTTAAGATTCTGTAGTCCGCAGGGGTGTTTTTACGCATCCTAGGCTGCCTCTGACTAAAACGGCTACAATTCTCACTGCAGAGTTATTCGGCTTTCATCATTTCTATTGACAAGTGTGCACTGTGGCCGTATCATGTAGTACAAGTTAAACAAAAATAGAATTGGAATAATAAAAATAGAATTGGAATAAACATTGCCTCAGTGGAGAAAAGTTGAGGAAGTAAAAGTTAGTTACAGAAACTGTCTAGATATGACAGAGAGTCTGGGATGTGGAGAAGTGAAAGACATGCCTGTGCATGCAGGTGCACCTGTTCATACAACAAGAAACCTGTATATTATCAAAATCACACATCATTAATTTATATAGTGTAAGGTATGGTTATCTGTATATAAAATCAGTATGAGATATATGGAATGCAGACATGCTCAATGCACCCGTGTCCTAGAGATACATACAGTACATACTGTGTTGTGTGCCTGTGGTTATCTGGTGTAGAGCCACAAAATGTTAAAAAATGAAGCTGTGTGTAGACACTATACATCGTCCTGTGGTTAAGAGGCTGACCAATAAATCTGGCAGTTGAATTATTTTATCACTTCTGTTATTTGACATCTTTTATATCCATGACAGTGTGTGTATCGTTTTCACCTTGTGAGTCTGTATGTGTGTCATCGCGGCAAAATGTGATCTTTGAGTCATCTACTGAAGCGGTTTTGAGTGTTTTGTCTGTGGACAGATTTTGTCACCGCAATTGCATCACATCTGTGCGAGATTCAGAACAGTTCATAGGTAGAAAGGAACATTGAGTGTTGATCATTTGTTATATAATCAGAAAAATATCATTTTTTATTTTATTTTGGGCACCCTTGTGTTACCCAGGCAGCCCAATTAGTATAACTCAACAATGAACTTAATCTACTCTTCTTTGGCCCCCTGGACCATCTCTCAAATAACGACACCAATCCATTGTCATCTGAAAAGGTTATATTGTTCTTCTGCTTGACATGTGTAGTGACAGCCAATATCAAATTTGCATCTTTGGCTGCAGCTGACAGCTATGCTGTTGTTGTGACTTCCTATCGACACAAGGCATATGTCATCCTGCTCATTATTTTATCCAAACAGTGTAACCCAGGGAGATGTAAGGAGATCTC